ACGTATGCCCACATCTATAATGAATCCCTATTTATTATGCAGTTGAGAAAAACTGAAGTTTTTAAATAAATAATCCCAGTGTAAATAAACTCCCCACCCTGGGCAAACTAAAACTGATCCCATCGCAGATTTTGCTCATTTTCAAATAAATCGTAGCTCCGAACGGCATGGGCCGGGCAGTTTGAATTTCCAAACGATTTGGTATTTGGGGGCGGGGGGGAGGGCAGGAAACAACCCAAACAAACAATTTTACAAGTTCCAGAAGTGAATCCGCCCCCGCTTTTGCTTTTTCTTTCTTTTTTCTTTTTTTTAATTTGAAGAGCTGAGAGGAGCAGGAGGCTGCCGCGGTCTTTGGCCCATAGGAAATCAGTGACCCAGGGACATCTGCAAGCTATTAGGATCCAGGCTTCAGGTAGCTCCCAGAAACACGTGCTGTCCACATTACACCCTCCAAGTATATTTCCACAACTTTACTTCTCCAAATAAACAGTCGAGCTCTCCCGGCATTAGCCAGGAGCTGCACAAACAGGTAGAGAGAAAGGCAGTTTTATTCCCCCTTCCAATTCTGATGGATTTCTTGTAAGCCATCACCGGGCCATGTAATTTGAACTATTGCTTGGAAAACATAATAGGGCCCGTTTTAAATTACCCCCATTTATTTATCTGTGTGAGACTATGAAACATCATGTACAGCTTCCACGGCATGCTCGCTTCGAAGCCCGGCCATAACCAAACGGCCGCTTGTAAGACCATGTTAACGCCGGGTAAATGGTTAAGAAAAAATATGAATCCGCCAGGATTTATTATTGTGCTGATGGATATTTTTCATTGAAGTACGGTTTTACGTCTTTCGAAACAATCCTACTTATTTTTAAAAGCTCGTAAGCATTTTTATAGGGAGACCTTAGCAGCGGTGCACATGGTGTTTTGCTAGTGATCGGGGACAAGGCAACAGGCTGCGAGTGAACCGACTGTGCCGTGTCCTTGCAAACAGGCAGCAGAAGCTGATAGCACAGAAGGGAGGGATCCAAATGCTGGGAACGTGGTAAATCCCAATGAAACCCAGCAGAAATCAGAAACGGGACAGCGCTTACGTTGCACTACTAAGATTTAAAGCTGATTTTAATGAACTACTGGCTGCTTGATAAGCATCTATTCTCTCTCCCAGAGATCTTGATATTTTTATGAGTTTCAGCCTATGTTTTTGGCCCTCATTCCCAGAGCCTTGCCTTTTTCTGTGCTTGGTTTCTAAGGAAGGGATTCAAAACACGTTCGGTTACATTAGCAGCTCTCTATTCATCTCTCACCAACATCTTCGCCAAGGTAGGAGCTGAAGTGTGATCAGTATATGTTAAAAAAAGGAGCTCCCGGATGCTTTTGCAAAGCTCATTGCTCTGAACTAACAGAAGGCTGCGTATGGCTATTTTGGGATTGTTTCTTATGCCCGGTAGCATATTTGGATCACATTTTGAGACCTTCTTCAGAACAAAGTATCTATTGTCCACATCAAGAGAGGAACAAAGGCGTGTGCCCAGACCACCGAAAAAGGAAAAACAAAGGAAAAGATATTTTCAAACAGGTTAAGGTGCATCTTGCAAAATCTTTTCACTTTCCCCATGCAGGGAATAAAACCCTCCTTTTACAAGGGTGTTCCCTTTCCACTCTGATAAGGGAGCCCAATGGACTTTCTTGACTCGCCAAGTTTTCAAATCGTGTTGCAGGCTATATTTGGGGGAGGGAATAACTCATTAATCTTCAGAGAACAACATTTGCAAGTTATGAAGTTGTGCACGGTGGTTTTGAACTAGGGACGGGAGAAGAAAAATAACAGCAAGGTTATATATATTTGCTACGGTAAAGCCTGCCCGGGAACTTTTTGGTGTTCAAAATCCTAGAGGACTAATCTTCCCCTCGACTCAGATATGCAAGACAGAATAAATCAAAGTGTTTGGACCTTCCTGGGGGTTAACAGCTCAGCGAACTCTCTGATCAGCCACTGTCTGGTTCAAAATCCCTATCTATTTTTCCCCTATTACTGTTCCTCATTATTGAAACTTTTCTAACCAGTGGCCTGGGGCAAAAAAAAAATATCTTTGTGACCAGATACCACTGTTGTGCTTGCAACTGAGAGATTCAAGCATGAAAGCTGATCCCACTCATTGCAAGCAGAATCTGGCCCTAAGTAAATTCATATTCAGAGCTGGGGTTTTTCAGTAGCAACTATCCATTTTAGTTAGACAGATGCTAGTTTGCAAACGAGGATCCATGCTTAGATATGGAATATATAAAGCAAAGAGGCGCAGCCCAGTTCACTGGCCCACCAAATTCAGACCTTAAAAGAAGTTTAAATATTTTTATCGCTGCACCATACCTCATTGTTCAGTGCCTTCCTTGCCAGATCTTTGTGTTTTATTCTCTCTGGCAAGTATAATGAGGCAAGCTTGCTTGCACAGTGATTAGTTTTAGTCTACCTGACAAGTATAACGAGGCAAGCTTGTGCAGTGATTAATTAAAACATCACACGCCTAAATGTCTTTCAGGGAATCTCCCTGGGATCTTCAGTCTCTCCTTTTTCTTTGCAATGCGAAGGAAAAAAAACTGGCTTTCATGTGTCATGATTTGCAAACTTCAAGCAATATACAGTGTTTCCTCCCCAGCTTATCAGCGGCAGCTTTTTAGGGCTGTGTATTACTGTGTGAGATGATTAGACAGCTAGCCAGACAGACACACAGCAAGCAATTTTTTTAAAGAATAGTTCAGGTTAAATCAAAAATGAAAGATCCAAAAATTCTTGTTCAAATCTCTAAAATGCAGCACAACTCTGCTCCAAAGCCGTTATCAACTCATTGGCTCTCATATTTTTAAGAAAGACGCAGACCTCTGGGAAAAGGCAAATTAGAAAGTGGCATAAGGCATTTAAGAAACCCAGATGGGAGAAATGGAAACTTTGCTGAGCTGGCTGGATTCGGACTGCACTAGACTTTGCTAAGAGAGGACGTGATGGATGTGCCGCTCCTCTGCCAAATCATTCCCAGCCATCCATCTCTTTGGCCCTCCACTACCCGTCGTGCCGCGCTGTCCCAGCAGCATCACAAGGGCCTTGCACAACTCTGACGCCCTGAGCACCCCAGCTGTTCCCAGTGCTCACCTGAGTGTGCACGCCCCAAATTTGCCTTTCGAGGTGCATGCAAAGAATCACAGGAGCTTTTCACTTTGAGCCCCTTTAGGCCAAAGTGGTGTTGTTTCTGCTGTGTTGTTTCCAAAAAAGAAAGTGCATTATGAGAAATGATATACTGCTTGCAAAATGACAGGGGTCGGGGGGGGAGATGTAAGATCTTTTTCCCTAAGTATAATCCCAGTAAGATAGGCTGACCAACCTGTTACCATCTCGCATCAACGTAAAAAGACACTGTGCACCGGCCACCGCTCACAACGGTCTTCCGGACACTTCCCGTGGTCTTTTTATTATTATTATTTGAGCAATTGGGCATCTAACTCACATAACCTGTCGAATTTGCTGACATTGCCTTGCAGGCATTCAGCCCCAACAGAGATCTCTTATTTTAAAGCATTTCCTAACCTAGAAGTGGGGGAAGTGAATATATAACTTTCAAATAATAAACTTCACCCCCAGAACTTCCCCGTTGAAAGTTATTGTCCAGGCCTAACATTTACTGGGGAATCAAGGAGGTACGATGTCCGGGGCATGGGCTTTTGTGCCCTGTATCAATATAATAACTGCTCTTTCTAACATGATGAGAGAGGGTTGTTTTTTTTCACATTACTTTCTTGGGGCTTATTTTTAAAAGGGTTGCAATACAGGCCTATTCTCTCTGCTTTGGCCCCTGCCCCAACAGACTAAACATTAGCCATTGCAAACTTGAAAAGGAGGAAACTTCTCCCAGCACCAACACAGCCAAGCAGCATTTCCCTGGCTTTCCTTTCCTACGAGGCAAGGACTTTTTGTTCGACTGAAGAGCCTCTTCGGATGCAGCAATGAGGTCAGACAGCAGCGCAGGTGACATCACAGCCTGAAATGATGTAAACGAGCGGTCTGCAGCATGACGAGGAGGGGATCAAACAGCACGAGGGAGACGGAAAACTTTAGAAATGACAAGTGGACACTGTTCAGATTTCAAGAAAAACACCCAGGGGGGTGTTTGTCCTCTCCCCTCCACACACACACACACACACATGCATGCGCTTCATAAAAACTCGACTGACTTCAATGCAGAAACAGCAGCCAGCTCTTAGCAAACACGTCTGATTCGTGTCAATATGGCCACAGCAAATATTTGTAGGGTTCGAAAGAAAAATCCTTCTGAACGTCCCGTATGGATATGATCCCCCTCACTATTAAACTGCCTGCCTTTCTCTCGCTGCTTAGTGCCTGCAAGCAGTCGTTTTGGGCACAAAGAAGAGGGGGGACGAAATGAGAAATGTAATTCGCACTCTTCTGGTTAAAGAACTTGCCTGCACCACGGACCAGAGACTGATAGTAAAATCATGCAACTTCTGAAAAAAAAAAAACCCAGCATCCTGCTGCAAGTTAAGATGACGAGAAAAGAAATTGTCAGCTTAAAAAGTGAACTGGGCTGCCCACCTTTCCACCTATTCTGTAGATGAGGATTTATTTAATAGAAAAAATGAGGCGCAAACTATAAAATTGCAGGGGGGCATAACAAGGAAAGCTACTTTGCATCTGCCTCCTGTTTGCTGTTCAAACTTGTTAAGCCACGGTCTTTTGTTGCGAGAGAGTCTCTCGTCGTGAAAAGGCAGAATCCTTTCACCAGATGGACTTTCAGAATGAAAACTCTTCTCATTATAACACTTTTCATTAACTCAATTATCCTCCCAAGTTATTTGTGTTTATCTCTGCCAATCAGCAGTATTGCCAGGGAACAATCTCTTGTCACCTTCTTTTTTCTCTCCCCCCAGGTATCTTTGTCCAGCATTTGGCTAGGGCAGTTCAGCTAACATGAGAACAACCTATTGGCTGATTTTGCTCTGATGTCCCCATGGCAAATTACATATCTGTAAGGAAAAAAAACAATACTGCAAAAACCGTTGTAAATGGGTAAGGGAAAAAATGTCCACCTAAATGTTAGTTACAGCAGAACTTTTTGTTGATGCAAATCTCACTGTCTCCCTTTTTTTGTTTTTGGTCCCTGCTAAATATTTTGCAGAGCCAATATTTGCAAGAAAATGTGCTTTCTTGTTGCAGACACACACAAGACAAGCAAAACCCTTTGCAACAAAATGTTGGCTCTGACTCCCCCCCGCTATCGTTATATGACAAAGACTCTGTTAATAAGACATACACTTACCTTTTCACTCACCCAAAGATAACTACTTTCCAAAGATTTGCAAGTAAAAACTCTGAGAGAAAGATAGCACAGGCAGAAAGGGTCTAGCGGGGAGATTTCCTTCTAGAAATGGGTTGATTCAGCACTCCTTCCCCTTATGCCCCCCCCTTTCTTTTTTTTTTTTGCAAGTGAGATTTCCAATTCAATACAACAAAATTAAATGCAGATTTTAAAAGAATAATGTGTTCCCGCACACGTACTATCGTCAAGCATGACAATGCAGTTGAACAGGACAAAGGCTGTGAACTGAAGCAGTCTCGATAAAGTACTGGGGGGGGGAATAACAGCAATGCTTGAATTGAATTCAGAATTAGGCACTGTGTATTTTATAAGGAAAATTGCACACACAAAAATATCTGTCCTTCTTTGCAGCAGCAGAGGTGAATAGATGAGAAACTGTGTGCGGGTGAGGTGGGGGGAGGACCGAGAGTAAAGCTGCAGCACAGGCATTTGCTCCAATTCATTTCTCATCTTTAGCCCTTAATTTTTCTTTATAATCCTTCCTTACCACAAGATAGGGTCTATTCTGAACGGAGATAACTTTGTTTTCATCGGTGATACTTGATCCACAGGCTGTATGAAAAAGCAGATTGCAATTAGGAAGGCAGATGCTAAAATATTTCACTACCAAGTGAAAGGGGAAATTTGGGGGAGGGGGTTTCCAAGGCCATCTCGAAGCACACCCACCTTCCCCCCCCAAAAAAATTGAAGCCCTTGAAATATTTTTTTTTGTCTTTCTTGTGTTTGAGTTTTTGGACGAGCAGCTTAGGCAGTTTGGCAACTAGTTCAGAACTCTTCCTTGTACAATTTCAGTCTGTGCAGCAGCAAACTATACAATCAAGTCCCTGCCATCCCCTTGAAAAGCGATCTCAACCTTTCTAAGCATCGCATAAAACTCCCTAACACAGAGACACAGCCACACACAGAAAAATTCCTGTGCACTGGATATACAGACTAGATATATAGACGGGCACTGGATGTATAGACTGAGTTAAGCCTAGCTCTAAAGGATGACACGTGCCATTGTTCAATTCTCAAAGCAAATGCCAATCTGATAAATCAGAGATACAAGAAACCTGCGGCACGGCAACATACGGTAGTCTTGAAATAATTATGCTGCTTAAAAGTGCTCAGTTATGGCACATTCGATTCCTGAGCTTTCCCCAAAGACTTTTAGAAAGAAGACAACTCTTGAAACAACATGTAACGTCAAGGCAGTGACGCAAAAGGGTGCAAGGCAAGGGGAGAAGGGGAGATGCACTCAACTAACTCGACAGGCAGATTTCCCCCCACCTAAAGGTACAGAAGTGAATATCCAGAGGTGTCTGCCCAGTGTTACGTTGGTCTGATACCTTGTCAGGTTCACTGATCACTGGGGTGGAAAGCTCTTTGGATCAGCTGCCCCTCGGGGTTTGCTAAGCAACGGTTACTGCTGAATCCTGTAAAAAAAAAAAGAATAAATAAAAAAAGGCAGATCACGATTCGAAGTCTGATCAATCAGACATGAGCCCAGTTCAGCAAGAAGACTCATCCCCCCCCACTCCCATCCCCATCCAGCCAACCCTTCTGGAGCTGCGGGAGTGAAAAGTTTAGGGTCAGTTTCTGGGCTTTTGGCGCCCTCTCGGTACGAAAAGGAGAATTTCGCTCGGGCACTGGGAAGAAAAGAAAGGTGTTTACAAAGGTAAAAAGTTCCAAAGAAGCAGCAGGAGGACGAAATGAGGTGCAGAAAAGGTGCCAAGAGCAAAGCAAGACCCGTTGAATGATGCCCGCCTGGGCCCGAGCACCGTGCCAGCGGCTGATTGCAGGGGTTCCCGGGCAGAAGTGGCATCCCAGCGCTGCAAGGGTTGCCTTTGCTATTGCCCAGGTAAACGGCAGAGGGTCTGGGATGGAGACAAGATAGGGATGTGCATGTGGGGATACCAGGATGAGGCATCAGCATGGGCTTAGCGCGAGAATAAATGATGACAGGGGGCTGTTAACAGTCTCTCACTGTCATTGCCCCCTTCTCTCTCATGGGTGGGCTCCGAGTCTGTCCAGCTCACGAGCGGCAACCTCGCTGTGTCCGTGTCAGAAACCCCCGCCGGATGCCCTGCAAGCGGACTCGCCCCTTAAGAGACAAGTACGTTCAAGAGCAACCTGCCACCGAAACCCTCCAGCCATCACAGCTGCATTCGAAACTTGTTTTTTGAGAAAACCCCAGCATTTGCTGGGGGTGGAAATCGAATTACATCGGTCTTCCACATTCAAAGAGAAGCAAAGATTTGTAGTTGGCAGAACACGAGTTATTCCCGGGGTGGGGGGCAAAAGAGAGAAACTCTAGGTTGAAATACCGGGACATGCTAATAAATGTCATGTTTTATGACATGATTTTGCAGAGGGGGTCTAGGCGTAGTCAGGGCTGGGTATTCCCTTCTCTGTTCACATAAGCAAGGGACTCCACAGCGTCCCCATCCTTGCTACCTGTGTGTCCCTGAATAGCATTTGCCTCCTCGTACTCCTTAGTGCAAAACAGACTGTTTAAATCGTCAAGCCGGAGAAAACGTTGCACGCCCGCTCCTTACAGGGAGGAAAGAGAAAGTTGTATGAAGTCAGAGTAACATAGGAGGGAAACCCCTGTTGCTCGGTAGGGTTCATATCCCTGAATTTAAAGCCACCGACTCCACGCACGTTATTACAGGACCTTCAAACGACAGCCCCAGGGCAGACGACCTGCCTCCGAACGCCCTTGCCCAGCACTGAGCGGCTGCAAAACTTTGCCCATCTCCGCTCGCAGCTGGGCGAACCCCACCTGGCAGAAGGGCCCATCCACCCGGCGGGCATCGCACCTTGGAGCCAGGTGGGTTTAAAGTGAAGGAGTGAGAGCGGCTGACACGGGGAACAAGGCCGGAGGCACAACCGAGCAACACCACTGACTTCTAAGGAGGACGGCTCTGCTCCTTGCCATGCCACAGGAACGGGGCAGCTCAGCAGCGCGCAGCCTGGGCAATCCCATGGGCTTTTTTACCCCTGAAGTCGCTTCTCTAGCGCTGCAGCCATCGCGTACGTCCAGCCACCCCCAACCTACCTAGCCCCACAGAGAGCAAAAAGAAAGGCGCTTTGGAAAGGTATCACAAAAGTCTGCAGCACAAAGAGTCAACTCAGGCACTGCAACTTTGCAGTGTTTTTTTTCCTCCCCTGCTCTCAGCTCTGGGCTCAGCTCTCCCCACCCTACGAAAACTTGCAGCCAATCCTCTCTTTGCCAGCCCCCAAAGGCAGGGCTGTCATTGGTGGAAAGTTTCTAAGGTGAACTAGCAGAGCAGGCTATTTATTAAAGAGACACAGAGAGAGTTGGAGATTTGGGTTGGAAACCGACTGGGTGCAACCGGGAGCCTCAAACTTGCCAAAACTAAGGATTCTTTTTCTCTTTTTTTTTGTTTTTTGTTTCTTTTTTATTATTCTTTTTCTTTTTGTAATTCTTCTTCTGAGAGGCAGAGAGAGCAAGGGGGGGAAAAAGCCACCCCATTTTTTTTCCTCCCCCCCACCCCACTTTGACTACCCACAGCAGCACCCGAGCTGGGCTGGAGCACGTCTCTGAGAGCAGATTGCAACTTTGCAGGCGCCTGTGACCCATCTCAGTTGTCTCTTCTCCTCCTCCTGTGAGCTGCTGTTAACAAATCCAACTCTTGCAAACTTTTTCCCCGCTGGGCTGCTTTCCCTTCCCGCCCCCCTCCTCTCCAGCTCTGCCTCGCTTTCTCCCTCCTTTCTCCCCCAGCCCGACCCCGGCAGGCTTCCCGCTGGTTTGCAAAGACTTTGCCCCTTATTATTACTACTATTTTGTCATCCCGCCTCCCCCCTCCCCTCTCCCCACCCTTTGGTTTTCATCCTGCCCCCACTCTGCCACCTTCTCGCATGAATCTCCTAGACCCCTTCATGAAAATGACAGAAGAGCAGGAGAAATGCATCTCTGGCGCCCCCAGCCCCACTATGTCGGATGACTCTGCAGGCTCTCCCTGCCCCTCTGGCTCCGGATCGGACACGGAGAACACCCGGCCCCAAGAAAACACCTTCCCCAAGGGGGACCCGGACCTCAAGAAAGACAGCGACGAGGACAAGTTCCCCGTTTGCATCAGGGAGGCTGTCAGCCAGGTCCTCAAGGGCTACGACTGGACCCTGGTCCCCATGCCGGTCCGGGTGAACGGATCCAGCAAGAACAAGCCGCACGTGAAGAGACCCATGAACGCCTTCATGGTGTGGGCTCAGGCTGCCCGGAGAAAGCTGGCTGACCAGTACCCCCATCTGCACAATGCCGAGCTGAGCAAAACCCTGGGCAAGCTCTGGAGGTGAGTTGGGGGGCAATGGCAGGGGGATGATGGTGGCAGACCCCGAACTCTTGCCTTAGGATACGTGTGGGTGCTGTGTGCACGCTGGCAAACTTATTTATCAAGGGGAAAGCACGCAGGGAAGAGCGCAGAGGCAAAGCAGGGACCTGTTGCCTCTCCCCGCTTTCCGCTCTTGCACGCATTCATTTTCCCAGTGCGACGCATGGCTGGCTTCAGAGTTACCCCCTCATCCCCTGCAAGGTGAATTAGGGGCCTTGGGAGATGCTCAGGGGGGTGAGATGCAATGGCAGATTGCAAGGGGGGAGATTGCAATCGCCCTAGATGCAATGGGAGATGTTCAGGGGGTAGAGACCCCCACCGCAGCTTGCAGGGGACAAGAGGCCCAGTCACACACGGGAGTTTGGGGCTCCAGGAGGACCCGGGGGGGTTTCTAGATTGCATCCGATTTGCCTGGGTTGATTGTGGCCGGAGGGGTGGAAGCAGGGAGGGGTGCGGAGGGAGAGCTGGCAATGCCCCGCCAAGCCCCTGGGTGGGTGTGTGGCTCTGAAGAGCAGCCGTGCATGGCTTAACTCCTCCAGCCTTTCAAACCAAGCAGGGAGGGAAAGCAGAGCTCCAGTGAGTCACCTGGCCGAGCCCTGCGGCGTGTGACTGCAGGAAAAAAAACTTAAGGAGTTTGAAGCAAAAGGGGAAAGTTTCGGAGCAAATGTGGACTGCATGAGGCGGTGCCCAGAGGCATCCAGGGGGTTAGTCATCTAATCTCCTATTGAATCTGTGTGTGTGTGTGCACTTCTCGTCCAAGGGGGAGCACCTCAGACCAAACCCAGGGGGGAAAAAACAGGGCAGGAGTTTTGTTACGTCTTGTTTGGCCACCAAAATGTGGGGAAGGAGGTGTCGGGAGGGGGGGAAAGGGGGTAAGTTGAGGGGTACCCCCGACAGAGCGAGATTAGGAAGCAGCGCAATGGGGTAAGAGGAGAGGTGCTGATCTGGGGGTGGGGAGGGAGAAGCTCCCAAGATGACACTCTTGCTGGAGTGAGGGTTGGGCTGCAAACCACCCGGCTGGGGAGAGGAGCAGCAATAAGCTGGGCCCTGCCGCGTTGCCCCAGGGGGGAGCGAAGGCCGTAAGCGCCATGCCACGCTGGAGGGGTCGCTAACCCACGGCTGCCCTGCTCTCGCCCAGGCTGCTGAACGAAAGCGAGAAGCGCCCGTTCGTGGAGGAAGCCGAGCGGCTGCGGGTGCAGCACAAGAAGGACCACCCTGACTACAAGTACCAGCCCCGGAGGAGAAAGTCGGTGAAGAACGGGCAGTCGGAGCAGGAGGAGGGCTCGGAGCAAACCCACATCTCCCCCAATGCCATCTTCAAGGCCCTGCAGGCGGACTCCCCGCAGTCCTCTTCCAGCATGAGCGAGGTGCACTCCCCCGGGGAGCACTCTGGTAAATACGGGGCCTCTTCTGCAGCCTTCCCCAGGCGGGATGGGGAGGGAAGCTGGAGGGAGACGCACGTGCCCCTGCAGACTGCGCTGGCACGGTGCGTGGCTCTATATTGGTAACCAGACTTAAAATGCAACCTGTCTGTAGAGAAACGCTCACCAGATGCAGCAAGAGACAGGTGAATGCACTTTTACACACACGCCCCACAGAGAAAACCGCATCCGCTGCCTTTGCCACGTAACACATGCGCACTGTCCCACTCGAGGCCTGAAAAAGAGAATTGAAACAGGCTTCCAGGCATTTCAATCCACACTTTTCTTTTTAAAAAAACCCACATTTCTCCACTTTGCAAGTGGTCAGAAAAGCTCTGTAACTCCTTCCCCGCCCCCCCTTCCGCCCCAAGATCTATTGACACAGCTATTGATCGCTTTTATATACCCAACACCTGCAAATGTTTGTGTTACCCTATGCAACTGCCTTCAGAGGCAAGGCGTTATGATCTGTCGGGCCCCACAGATCAGGAGTTAAGTATTAACTGTGTTATCGCTGTTATACAACACCTCCCGGTTATAAAACTGGATGGTGTTAGCTTGCTTGCAGGACGTATCAGCATCCCAGATACGGGGCGACTAGGGGCCGCTACAGAAGGGCAGCCATCTCACCGCGGCTTGCGCTCTGTCTTTCCTTTTCCAGGGCAGTCCCAAGGCCCCCCGACACCGCCCACGACCCCCAAAACAGACGTCCAGCCTGGCAAGCAAGACCTGAAGCGAGAAGGCCGCCCCCTGCAAGAGGGAGGGCGGCAGCCGCCCCACATTGACTTTCGAGATGTGGACATCGGGGAGCTCAGCAGTGACGTCATCTCCAACATCGAGACCTTCGACGTCAACGAGTTCGACCAGTACCTCCCACCCAACGGGCACCCTGGAGTCCCGGCTACTCATGGGCAGCCTGGCCAGGTGACCTACACGGGCAGCTACGGGATCAGCAGCACCGCCGCCACCCCAGCCGGGGCTGGGCACGTGTGGATGTCCAAGCAGCAGCCGCCGCAGCAGCCGCAGCCGCCGCAGCCGCCGCCACAGGCTCAGCCCCAAGCGGCGCACACGATGACCCCCCTGAGCAGCGAGCAGGGGCAGTCCCAGCAGCGGCCGCACATCAAGACGGAGCAGCTGAGCCCCAGCCATTACAGCGAGCAGCAGCAGCATTCGCCGCAGCAGATCAACTACAGCTCCTTCAACCTCCAGCACTACAGTTCGTCCTACCCGACCATCACCCGCTCGCAGTATGACTACACAGACCACCAGAGCTCCAACTCCTACTACAGCCACGCCGCCGGCCAGAGCACCAGCCTCTACTCCACCTTCACCTACATGAACCCCACCCAGAGGCCGATGTACACCCCCATTGCAGACACTTCTGGGGTCCCCTCCATCCCCCAGACCCACAGCCCACAGCACTGGGAACAGCCCGTCTACACACAGCTCACTAGGCCATAGAGGCAAAGAACAACCTACAGACAAAAAAAAACACAAAAAAACTTCCGCGGACTTGTCCTCTTTAAACCAAGAAAAGGAAGAGAGAGAGACACTCAAGCTGAAAGATGATGGGAGAGAAAAAAAAAAAAGGAAGAAAAGAAAACACAAGGGTCCTTCTGCACTACAGCATCCTTCAGGAGGTGGCCAGACCACTCTGCTGAGAAGCAGCAAAACTCGGTACAGACCTTCCAAGGACTGGACTTTTCACCTTGAGTCCAGGGTGAGAGCAAACAGATGAGATTTCCATCCCACAGACTCATCTGCCTGTGTTTGGACTTTTGTAATGATTTTTAGC